AAGGATACCCTCCCCATATTAAAGCCACTTTCGCTGGTGGGAAAAAACGAAGAGAAAAATGGAATTCAAAAGTGAAATCCTGAGCATGNCCCGCCCGCCCACCCACCCTCAACCCCAATGGCAGCCCAAACACCTGACCTACATCCCCATTGCGTAATCACGTACCAACCGACCGCTGGAGATTATGTAATAAATCTATTGTGAAGGAGGATTTAAGAAAGAGGAAGAAAACACAGCTGACGTAGACAGCTTCTGGAAAGTACAGCTTGTCTTCAGATGTCAGCAATGAGAAGGCCCAGCCTGAATTGTTGACATGGTGCCTACATGGTGTCAATCACGCAGACACACCAAGGGAAGCTCACAACTGACCCAAACACAACCACCATCCAATACGCTTTAAGGACGTCACCCCAAAGGTCAAACCGCACGAATGATCTTTTAAGCAGGGGATCTTAAAAATTTTCATCAGAAAGGGGTGGCCCAAGTCTCTAGTCCTCTTGAGGGCAGGGAGATCAAGGGGACAGGATGGGATCCAGCCACCAGCCAAAGGCAAGGTCCTTCCTTTGCGGATAGAGCACCCTTGAAAAGGAGGAACCAGTTTTGAGGCTTGCGGCCTATTTCTCTGAATGGAAAATTAGCTCACACCTCCCCCACATGGGGTGGAAAATATGATTTTCAGAAAGAGCTCCTGACCCACATATCTCACAAAAAGATCACTGAAGGGCACTTCCCCCATTTGGCTCTCGTGGTAAAGGCCCAGGTTTAAAAGTCAAAGAGAGGAGGGATCTTTTCCATTAAGGATCAAGAAGTAGATTTTAGATCAAGGGTGTCCAACCGTGGCCACCTTAGAAGTGTGGACTTCAACTCCCAGAATCCCCTAGCCAGCAACCTGAGCCAATTTGAAGACCTGTGAACTCTGGGCTGAGGAATTCTGGGAGCTGAAGTCCACCCGTCTTAAAGTGGTCAAGGTTGCAGACCCCTGCTCTAAACAGTCTTCGATAAAAAAAATTTCCTTACGGGCTCAACTCGGGCTGAGACCAAATCCACAACAGAGCCGGGACTCGCAACGCTTCGATCTCTTGGTCCAGCTAATCCACTGGGGGAGGTCATCTCCCAAACATTCTCTGTATTTGGAAACCGAGGCAGCCCCCCTGAACCCAAGACAGTGGGGTAACCTAAAAATAGTCCACCAACTCTCCCCTCTCCCTCTTGCCTGGATCTCTCTGGGGCACAAGCCAGCACCCCAAAACATGCTAAGACATGGCTGCCTCTCACACCCAGAGGGGAGAGCCCGGCAAGTGGGCAAGGTCAGCCAGGCAGAATGAAGGAAGGGTTATGCTAACCAGGAGCAATTTAGGGGTGGCCTCTACTTCTGTGGGTCTCCCCCAGGAGGGAAGAGGGAGGCAGGCAGGTCAGCCTGGAAGCCGCCTTCTCCCCTTTGAAGGGGTCTGGGGTCCTGCGGGTGTCAAAACTCTTCCGGCCAGACTGTGTGTCCCCCCCTTCCTGCAAATGCCCCCTCTGACCTCTGACCCCCCCACAAGGAAAGGCAACGCCAACGTTTTTACCAGCCCAGGTAAACAGCCCAGCCCAAGAAGGCAGCTGGAGGAAGGAAAACAGAAATTAAACCTTCCAAAGCAAACAGACCAGGTTTGTGTTGAAAACACCGTGAGCCCGGCTGAGAAAACACCATCCTGGGAGCAGGAGAAGTCAGGGGAGACTTTGGGGGGAAGCCTAGAAGCCTTTCAGCAACTGGGGGGGGGGACCTGGCCAGAAAAAGAAAGAACTTACACACACACAGAGACACAGACACGCTTCTACCCGTGATTGTGAACAGTTTGACAGGCCCAGCAAGCTCTGATTTCTGGTTTCGAACGGAGGGCTGGGCAGGGCCTGTTGGGAAACAGCCTTCGGCTTCGTGCCCAGCCCCGACTGCAAACAAACCAGACCGTTCCCATAATGCTCTGGGCTCCTTCCTTCCCCCCCCCCCCCCCCCCCCCCCCCCCCCCCCCCCCGGCTCGGCATTCCCACGCTTTGCAATGATCTCAACGTTTGAAAATGCAAAAGGAACATCCAGTTCAGGCTGCTTCTCTCTCTCTCTTTCTCCCCCCCCCCCATTTGGGACTGGAAGGCCTCTTCCGCCCCCCCCTGGCCACGGAGGGAATGACACGGCCAGCAAGCCGCCTTCACACAACCAACACCACGGGGGTGGGGGGGGGGAGCTGCTTCCTTTGTAAATTGGTGGGTACCTTTTGCTCATTATGAGTTTGGTGGGGTTTTCCCAACGGGCCGCTGGGAATATTTCAACGGGACAAAAGACGAGTGGACTTCCAGTCCCAGAATTCCTCACAACCGGGGGGGGGGGATTCTGGGAGTTGAAGCCCACCCTCCTTCGAGTTGGCCAAAATTGAGAAACGCCGCACTGCAGGCAGGGGCTAACGAGGTAGAAGCAGGTATAAAATGACAGAAACCAGCCAAAGGCAACCGCTCGGTTCACACCCCATGGCCACGCCACAACCTAACTTGGATTTGTCAAGTTAGCCAGAGTAAACCAGGTTCAGACAACTTACTAAGCCTCCAAGCCATGTTCAGTTGGCTAACCACAGTGCTTTGCACAGTGCCCTAACTGAAAAACCAACCCAAGTAAGCCACGTTAGCACCAGCAGGTGGGGGGGGAACCACGATCGGCGCCCCCCCCCCGAGAGGCCACACAACAGACATCCGATTTCTGGGTTGAAACAAGGGTCCTTTTATTGTCAAAGGTTTATCAGTCCAGTGTTCACACACACACACACACACACCCACACCCCGGCTCTTTTCCCTTTCTTTGTCATAGCGCACCACCCGGAATTGCTGCTCCCCCACCCCAAACCCAGAGGACACTATCCCCCCATCTAAGCAGCAGCTTTTAAGCACCAACCTGGTTTGCGGGGAAGGACAAACAGAAGAGCAGATCTGTAAACAGCAGGTTGGAAGTTTGGAAAGAGAAAGAGAGAGAATTATGTGTGCATGTTCATACTTGGGGGGGGGGTGCCATTTTTTTTTAGAAAAAAAGCAAGCACCAGAAGATAAGGATGAAGACAATGTAAAAAATTATATATATATATTTATATATATGTGTGTGCGTGTGCATATATATATATATATATATATATATATATATATATATATATATATATATATATGAATGAATGACTCGGGGTCTATTTACAGGAGGGCTGGGGGTCTCAAAGCACCGCAGGGATTCGGAAGAAGCAGCTGCGCCTTTGGGGGGGGGGAACAGAAGCAGAATTCCTATTCCTGGCCAGCACTAAGCCATCTAGTAAAGCTGGGCAGTGGCTGGGATTATCTAGGATGTTTCACCACGGACACATCTCTTGGGGTTACAAACCCCCCAGCAGGACGGGGTGTGTGGGGTGTGTGTGTGTGTGTGTGTGTGAGGGGCACCCTTCCGCGTAAGGTTTCGCAACCCACCGACCGCTGCCACGGAGAGGGGACGCCCCCAATTCCAAAATGCAGGCTTCTGTTCTTTCGGAGACAAGGCGAGGAATACGGGCAGGGGACAGAGCGTGGGAAGGGCGCCCGGCAGACCTCAGAGGACCCTACTCTCTTTGTTCCTCACCCAGACATCTTGCAGACCCCCACACGGCCAGGCCTGCTCTCCGTGGCCTCTTGGGAGAGCCTCCTTGAGAAGCTCCCAGAATTCCAAGCGTGCCCCAAAGGGTGGGGGGGTTGACTCTGAGCGAGGGGACCTGCTTTCATCGTTTTATTGATCGATTCTCATCCCTTCGATTTCTGCAGCCGCCCATCTCAATTCAGAATGGTAAGTTTCGCTACTTGTTCTATTGATGGGAGGGAATCATCCTAGTGCTTTAAATTGGGGGTGTCCAACCTTGCCCACTTTACGACCGGTGGACTTCAACTCCCAGAATTGCTGGCTAAGGAATTCTGGGAGTTGAAGTCCACCAGTCTTAAAGTGGCTAAGTGGGACAGCCCTGCTTTAAATACTCTTCGTTTTAAGAGAGGCAGAGGTCTCTCTCTCTCACACACCAAATTCCTCGCCGTGAATCGTGGCGGGACGCTTCAAAGGCCAACTGTCCGGTCATCTCCAGCGCCTTCAATTCAGAATTCAGGGCCGTCCAGCTTCCTCTGCTCCCCACGGCATCAGCCTTTCCAACCTCAAGCCAGCCTCTGCTTCCGAGACTCTCAGGGACCACGTTTTCAAGATGGAGGCAAGACCAGCCCGCATTGGCCAACCTTCGGTGTCCCTCTCCGTTCCCAAGACCATCCAATCAGATCTTTTTCCTGGCTAAGAGGATTTTACATGCCGGATCTCTCTTCCAAAGGGTTCCAGCCTGGCACGCTTAGGCTAGGTGGAAGATCCACGCCAATCGGGGGGCCGTGGCAAACAGCCAAGGGGAAGGGGAACGCGTGCCTCAACTTGAGACATGGGCTGGCTTGCCTGGTTTCTATCCGTCAATTTTAGAGCTTCTGCAGATTCAGGGAGGGCTGGGCCTGGCAGCTGGCATCGGACAAGATGGCCGAGAAAAGCTTTTGAGTTTGGAAGACTTTTTGCCTGTGAACTCCCAGCCCCGCAAAAGGGCTTCTCTGGGACCTCGGAAGAACCCTAACTCTTCCTCAACCAGTAAAAACACAACACCAAGTTGTCGCGATTCTGCCCGCAAAGCCCCCGAGGCGAGGAGGCTTATGGGGGTTTCGGATTGCTTGCGGCCACGCAGCCCGTGGTTGTAGCGGATGGGCCTTGTTGTCCTAAATGTATGGAGGGGTAGCAGTTTCCCGGAAGGGTCACCCACCGCTGTGTCTCCTGTTTAAACTCTGCCTCTTTCGGCTTCCTCTGCAGCCTGATGCCCCCTCCGGGCCGGCGATGAAGGATTAATCGGCAAGGCAGCGCGTTGGCAGTTTAAAGCGAAGCGAGTTTCAGCCCCAGAGAATCCATGCTGCACAGCCTGCCCCGCCCACAGTGGCGAGAAAACACACACCAGAACGGCACACAAGTCCAGGTCTCGGCTTCTGGCTTTGATTACTACAAAGAGATCCGCCACAGTGGAAGTTCTGTGGGTCCCAGATGCGGGTTACAGCAGAGTTCAGCTCAGTCTGACAACGGGGGGGAAAAACAACAACCCAATTCCCCCAAACCCCCAAATGGAAAAAAAGGAAAGAGAGAAAGAGAGAGAAAGAAAGAAAGAAAAAAATCCCATCAGAAGAGCAGGTTACCCTGCCAGCTTGCTGGTGACGAGGGAAGACTTTCTCTGGGGCAGATCCTGGGGCGTGGGGATGTGGTCGCCGGTCACCAGGTTCTTGTCGGTACCTGCAGTTGGCAGCTGCTTGTTCTTGATTTTGGCTTTGGCCATGTTGTAATCTCCGGAGTCAAAGTACTTTTGCTGGAGAAGAAAAACAAGGGAATTAGGTTGCGGTCCCAAAGGGCCTGCTGTTTCCCTTAGCCCGGGGTTCTCCCTTAGCGTGGGGCACTTTTAAGACTCGTGGACTTCAACTCCCAGAATTCCTCAAGCCCACAAGTCTTAAAAGCGCCCCACGTTGGAGACCCGTCTAGTTTCCCCTCTGTTGCTCCCACAGAGGAAACTGGTCAGGTTACATTCAGGGCAAAATAGGGGAAGGACTTGGGCAGAAAAGAGCAGGAACTCCAGAGATGGCGAACCTTTTAGAGAATCGAGTGCCCAAAAATTGGCCCCGCCCCCACTCCACCCCTGCCCCGCCCCCGCTCTGCCCCTGCTCCGCCTGCCCGCAGGGCACCTCATCACTTCCAGGGCCCGCCGCAGATCGCCCAGCAGCACCATGGCAGCCAGGCCCTCTGCCCGCGCCCCGCAGCATCAACTGTGCGCGATGGGGCATGAGGGCAGAGTCTTGCCTACGCTGCCTGGCTGCCATGTCCTTGGCTGCGCTGCTCCACGCTCGTGGGTGACTCTTCTCTGGAGGGCTACTGGTGAGGAGGGGGTCACGGGGGGAGGCAAGGCTGGGGCAACGGCACGCGTGCCCACAGAGAGGCCTTCAAGTGCCGCCTCTGGCACCCGTGCCATAGGTTCGCCACCACTGTTCTAGACGATGACCGGAGATTTTTCCACCGGGTGGGAATCCTGCAAGCAGACCCCAGGAGTCGTAGCAAGACGCGGCCCTCCCCCAGATGCCTCACAAGCCAAGGCAGCGTGGCCCCCATTCATTCTATCAGCTGCCAACCCTTCAGCCACGCATCAGTTTATCGCTATTTAGAGGGAAGCCACTGAGTTTTCCCTTCCTGCCACGCTGATTTCCCTAGAGGGGTCCTACTTTCCAGGAGAGGCCTCTGGGGGCTCACCTACCCCTTTCTGCAGCCTCTTCATTAAGAAGTCAGACCCCCCGGGCTTCTGAAGTCCTATGTTGGGGTATTTGGCTTTTAATTTGGCCTCCTCTTCTTTCTCAGGGATGCCCGTTTCCTTCTCCTGCGTGTCCTGAAAGAAAGCAGGCAGGAGAGGGGGGAGAGAAAAAAAAAAACAACAACAGCCATTAAGCCCTGATGTATCAAAAGAGCTCGAAACACAAGCCTAAGGAATAAAACTTGCAAAATTCCTAATATCTGCCTCAGTGCTTTGAACATTGTGAGACACCTCCGTGACTTTCACCCACTCATCCACCCCCATTTCTTCTTCTATGTTCTGGGTGCCCCAGACCTTCCTCTCTCCCTGGGCTAGCTAAATATTTCTAGAATGCTGATGAACAGGAACCAAAGAAGAAGAAGGAGGGTAAATATCTGGATGGGGGAAAAAAAAAAAAGACTGTCGGACTTTTCAAACTCTTATCTGAAAGCCAATCCTACATTCTTGAACTTTCCTCCACCCCTAGAAGAATTTATCTTTTCTTTACCGCCAGGCCTGCCTCTCTTAAGATAACACTGCGAAGGTTGTGCTGATTTCAATCAATCCATCTTTATTACTGTCACAAATCAGGAAACGAAAGCATTAAAACGCTAGCTGAAAAATCAAAATAAAGGACAAGAGTAATATATTGCAATTGGACCGTGCTGATTTCAAAGGAGCCTCCCTATCGGAGGGCAGCATACTAAATGGATGGGACTTTCTTCCTTTTAATAAAAACAAACAAACAAACAAACCTCAGATTCTCCTCATTACAATAGCCGGATCTCATCCTGGTATTATTTTCCGATGCTCGCTCCTTAAATTGTCCCCTCTGCTGCCAAGCTGGATGCCCTGTAGGCTATTCTTGCTTGAAACCAAACCCTGCCGGCCCCTGCCAGGTTGAGCTTTGCAGGGGTGCCAGCCCTTGGCGGCTTATTTGGAGCAGCCAGTAACCGAAGCTTGACGGGCCAAATCAGGTGCAACAATCCTCTCTTTGCTTGAACTGGAGGTCTTTGGGGCAGGAAGTTCAGTCAATCACACAGGGAGGCAGACAAGGGTGATTTGCTAGGGGGTCTCATTTCCCCCCCCCCAGGCAGCAGGACCAGGTGCCAGCATGTTATCTACAGCGGGCACCTTCCTGTCCCCTTAGAAGCATTAACCAGTGGAGCGGCTTCCCTCCAGAAGTTGTAGATGCTCCATTATTGGAGGTTTTCAAGAAGAAATTGGACAACCGTTAGTCTGAAATGGGTCTTGGGTCTACCGCTTGAGCCGGGGTTGGACTAGATGACCTCCAAGGTCCTTCCAACTCTGTTCTTCTGCATGGTGAGCCAGGGGGTTGGACTAGATGACCTCCGAGGCCCCTTCCAACTCTTGTTATTCTGTTAAGATGCTCTACTCAGCCAGGGGGGAAAAGGTCCGGCGAGGTCTACGGCAGCGTTTCTCCACTTCAACCGCTTGAAGAGGGGCGGACTTCAACTCCCAGAATCCCCCAGCCGATTCAGGGAAGTGAAGTCCACCCAAGGCCATTTGGGGAATTCTGGGAATTGAAGGCTGCCCTGTCGGGAAAGGCTGCCTTAGGGCTCCGAAGAGGCTTCCCTCTCTTCGGGGCTAGTCCAGGGGTCAGCAACCGTGGCCCCTTTGCCACCCGCGGACTTCAACTCCCAGAATTCCCCAGCCAGGCAGGCTCCAGGCTCCAAGGGCGGAATTCCCCTTCTAAAGAGCAACTGGGGCTACCACAGAACCCATGGTGCTCTCCCCTCCACCCTTCGACCTCCAGGAGGAGATCGAATCACCCAGGAGGGATGCATGGCCAGAGCCCATCATCCCCTGCCCGGGGAGGTGATGGGAGTTGTAGTCCGACGCCTTCCCGCAGGACGACAGAGGAGCTGCGATTTCAAAAGGCTCGCTCGACACGCAACGAGCCCCATTCAAACGCTCAGCGCCGGCTTCCCACGCGTGATTTTCCCTACCACAAAGAAGCGCGGGCAAGAGGGGGAGCAGTTTAAAGCCGGAAGTTCAGGCTGCGGGTAGCCGCGCTTGCTCCTCTCTATGGTTCCCCCACGGGCCCGAACGCCGGAGAGCTCGCCGACCAATGAGCCCCCGGGCATTCCTCGGGGTCAGCCAATCAGGAAGCACCTCCGCGCTGAGTGCCGGAGCGGCAGACCAATCAGCGCTCCCTGTTCTGCACACTTTACCACCCCCCCCACCAGCGCTGCTCGGCCCCTCCCCGCCCTCACCTGTTTCTCGACGCCGGTCTCGTCGGGACGGCTGTCACTGCCGCCACGCGTGTCCGACATGGCGAGGCGCGAGGAGCCGAGCGGGGCGGCCCGAGGAAAGCGAGGGTGGAAGCGCTGGGGCCAGGCACGGCCGGCGCCCTCTTTCCCGCTCGCCTGCCCCTGTCAGCGGAGAGCCAAAATGGCCGCCGCCTCCTCCGCCCCCTCGCTTCACCGTTCCCCGCCCACGGGGCGGAGCCACGAGCCACGCAGCGAATCACCGGGCCAGAACCTGGAGGCGGGAGATATCGCGGCTGACCAATCGGACACTCGGTTTCTGTGCGGGGATTGACAGGCGGCGAAAGGCGGGAAAAAGATTCAAATTAGACGGGCACCGCCCCCGGCCAATAGGAATTGCAGAAGGTGGGGCGAACAGCCTCCTTGAGCCAGAGGCAATCAGGGCATCACCCGTTGCCTCCGGCGCGATGCCCCCTGAGCGTAGGCAGAGTGCTCGGCCCCTGCGCTGCAAAGGGGTCCCCTGAGCATGGACAGACTGCCTTTGCAAGCCACAAAGCACGCGCCCAGGGCTTCCCTCCTCCTTTCCCCAGCAGATCCAGAGTCTAGGAACAGCCCGGGCTAAGGAAGCCCCCCCCGAGCCCCCTCCTCCTCCTCCTCCTCGCCCCGGGCTCCACGAGGACCCTCCCCACGCCCTCCCCCCCCCGCGGAAGAGCGCCGCCTAACCCCGTGGCCGGTACCCGGCTGCAGTCCCGGGATGGGCCGCCAGGGGGCGCCCGCGCGCTTCCGCACTGGTCCAGCTGCCGGCGGAGATGCTGCGGGGCTCCGGGGACCAGCCTTGCCCCCCCCCCGCTCCCCGCCTCTGCCAAGGCCCAGCTGCCTATCCTGGTCTCTCCAACCACGAATGGTGGTCAGGTGGGCCCTAAGCCCCGATCCGGGCTTGCAAAGGGCAGCTCGAGGCGCCCAGTGATGGCAGAGCGGGCAATCACGGCATCTCAGCCCAAAAGGCAGGAGGGGGCGATCGGAAACTACTATTGTTTTGCGTGCCCCAGAGCATGGGCAAAGGGCACTCCTCCCCCCCACCCCCGTGCTCCACCCCCTCCCACCTCCGGGATCCACAAGCATCCAGAAGGCAAAACGTCTCCCTTTTTTTCCCTCTGTGATTCTCTGCAAATTCACACACCCCGGCCCGCCTTCCCTGCAGGGGACCCCATGGGGCTGTGGCTGATGGGACACGGCCTGACTTTGCTTGGCCCATCCACGAGACAGGGGAAGTGGTACCCGGCTGCGTGGCCCCGCCTCTTCATCTGCATGGCCACGCCTCCTGCCCTTCCACCTGGCAAAGGTGCAGTGGCAGGCCATCTCCCTCCCTTCTCCAAAAGCTGGGCCAGGTTTAGGATGGCGGTGAGGAGGGGGGAAAGGCTGGGGTCCTCACGGGGGGGGGTGAATCCATGGCTGCTGCTTTAAGAGAGGACCCCCTCTGCCTTCTCCCCCCCCTCCCCATTTCCCCCACACCCGGCGGGGATCAGCCCATGCGCCGCCTCTCCACAGGGCTGGCAGCCCTGCAGACGGGGTGGGCCAGCGCTGGAAAATGGCAGGGCGCATTGATCGGTGTCTGTCAGCTTCTCCGGCACAATGGCTGGGCCTCATGTCCAGACACCGCACCACCGCACAGATCAATGGGGAACATCAATACCGCCGGAATTGCGTGGCCGCTATGGCAACCGGGAAGAGGAGAATGAGAGTGGTGGGCTGGGGGCTCCCGAGTTCTCGGCTGAGGGGCTGCGCACGATCTGTGCAAGATCCCCCCTTTGAGTGTCTTTCCTTGCTCGGCCCTCCCTGTCCTTGCTGGCAGGTCTGGGGGCTGATCTTGCATGGGGGGGGGCCTGCTGGCTTCAGGGACCAGAAGGGAGAAACTTCTCCTGGTGGGTTTTGCACCTACAGAGAGAGGTCAGCGGCAAATCTCACCCCCCACACACACCCCCACCCAATGCCCAAAGTTTGGGGTTTCGTCTGGAAATAAAGATCAGCAAACAAAAAGCACAAAAATTGCATTGTTTAAATAAAACTTGTCTCCACACTTCAGCAAAAGCTCCCTGGATTCTGGCGAGGCTGAAACAGAGAAAAAAAATGCTGTGTTTTTTTTTCCCCTTGTAGGAAACAGGCTGAAGTTTCAGACAGCAAGGAGATAAAAAGAGCTCCGTTTGGTAGCTGGGTGTGCATCTTCCTTCCTCCACGCCCCCCCCCCAAGAAATGGACTTCTGAAATATCTCTGAGACAGAAATCTCCCATCTGTGTCCATCCACAGCCCTTCGGCGGATCTCTCCCCATCGTTTGTTTTCCTCCCCACAAAAGGCCAGCCGGCGCAGAGACCGACACATTTTAAAATAGATTGAGGGGCCGAATAAAAACTGTCAAGCCTTTTAAGCTCCTTGGGGCCGAGTCGGTGGGTAGATTTACACGAAATGGCTTTGAAAAATCAATAGGACTGCAAGGGAGGAAAGAAGGGAAGGAAGGAAGGAAAGGAAGGAAGGAATGAAGGAAAGAAGGAGGGAAGGGAAGGAAGGTGCCTCGTGACCCCCCAATCCATTGCCAAGATGCTCCCCAAAAACCACGAGGCTCAGGGACCAACTGATTCTGTCTTGGGATCCCCCACCTCAATCGCATGATGATCTCAGTGAGGAAACACTGGGGAATCTGTTGAAAGGGGCAGCCTTGGCTCTTATTAAGCCATTTCCCTTCTCTCTCTCTCTCTTTTTTTTTTTTCACCTTCTCATCTTTCCAGACGGCGTCCATCTTTTCCTGACAGCAAGCCAGGAATCGGGGTTTGAAAGGGAGAGAAAATAAAGAGGAGCGCAAGAAGGGTTGGTTGCTGTGGGGTTGGCTGACCCTGCTCCCGTCCTATTAAATAAGCCGGTGTTAAATTCTGATTAAACTAAGGAGACGCGAAGAAAAGGCCCGAGCGATCGGTTATTTTCTCTCCCTCCCCCAACCTACCCAGCAGGGCTGTTGTGAAGGCATTAGAGCTCCCTTCTTGAGGGAAAGCCCCTTGGCTTCCCACCTGCCCGCAACTCCCATCTTAGGGGATTTTGCAGCATTTGCTGGGCTAACATAAAAGTTATCCGGCCCTGCCGCTTTCTCCGTGCAAATGTGTCTTTCCGTGTGCGAGAGAGAAAAGCGTCCATGTTGGGAGTGCGTGCCACATGGGCGAATCTCCCGCCCGGCTTATTGATTGGGGCCGCATTGATCTGCTGGAAGGGGCCAGAGGGTGGAAGGGGGGGGAGGAAAATCAATAGCCACGCGGCAATATGTTTCTCGCTCCCTGGGATGCGCTCGCTAGCAGGCTGTGCCACGTTGTAGGAGCCGTTTTTTAATTTGCCAGGACAAAGTGAGTGTGTGACACACGCGTACGAGCCTGTGCCACATTCGACTGTGGTTTTTAGGGGCTTTTTTTTTTTACTCCCGTGGCATCCAAGGGACAGGCCGGCCTCGTATCGGCGCTGGGGAAGACCACGCGGCCCAGCGGCGTCACACTTCAGCTGGAGACTCCGCCACTGAGGTGCCCCCTCCAGGACTGGCATCACAGAGGCTGCTTCAGAGGTGAGTCGGGGGACCCATGCTCCTTTCCCCTGGCGGCGGCTGGGCCACCATGCATAGGCCCTGTAATCCGGGCCATTCTGGGCACGGCCAAGAGGGGGCGCCCTTGGTGGTGCAAGGCAGAAGGGTGGCTAAGCCGAGGGTCCCACCTGGCAGGTTTACGGCCCAGCTGGCTGCCCTGCTCCAAAAGCAGACGAGACGGGTGGCACGCAAATCTCATCGACCAATAAAATAAAACAAATTTTAGAAATAAATATAAATCAATAGGTTAAAAATAAAAAGGGCAGGAATCCGAGGGACGACGGCTTCCTAGGCAGGGGGCGAGAGATGCCCTCTGCAAAACTGTAATCGACTTAGCCTCGCGGGCCCAATTGCGAGGTGGTGTGTTTGCCGTTCCAAGTTGTGGCCTCTTTGGGCCGTGGGGCCCTGGCACTGCCAGCCTCTGGTTTTGCAGATAAATGAGAAAAAGCTAATTGTGCTTAATCCCTGGCCAAAAAGGAGATTTCTTGGTTTTTGCGCGGTGCCCGAGAGGACGATCCTTCTAAGCCCCCTTGGAGCGTCTTGGGGGCAACACCTTTTCCAAAGGGGGCCTGTTGCGCCTGGCCACTCGGGGACCCCCTCCCACCACCCACCAGGTTGCAAGAGAGGATGCTGGGAGCTGTAGTCCCTAATATCTAGACCGGCCCCGGCTCAACCCATCTCCCTTTGACTCTCAAAGCCCGGCGCGGTTCCAGAGCCTCCAATCGGCTGACTGCATCCGCTCATCTTCTCCAGTACCCAACGCCTGTGCCGCGAAGCGTGCTGTGAAACCCGGAAAGGGGCACGTTGGTCCCCAAATGGAAAACTGGCTTGCTTTCTGTCTTCTGCTTGCAATTGGGGGGGAGGGAGGGGGGAGAAAAGCCAGAGTTTTATTTATTTATTTTTAAGCAGTGGGGTCTGCAACGCCCCCCTCCCAGTGCCTTTGGAGGAGGGCTCCTCCCCAGATCAGAGGCCTCCTGGTCTCCAGCCCCTCAGCCCTCCTCCGCCTTCCACCTCCGCGGTCCACACCCCATCATTTGCAACCCGGGGTTTCCATGGTTACGCCTGATGTATTGGGCTATTGATCAGCGCAGCCGAAGCCGGCTGTCCACGCAGCGCCCGGCTGCAATCCCTCCTCTCTAACCATAGGCCTAAATCAATATCGGCCCCTGTTTATTCCGGACGAGTCTTCCTTTCGCCTTCTCCTCTTTTAGTGCCGCTCTCTTCCCCGCTTCCCCCCCCCTCCGTCCCCCCCCCAGTCCTCCTGGTGGTTTGTGTTAGGGTTTTTTTTTCTTTTTTGTTGTTGTTTTTCACCTGCTCCCTTTGGCAACCAAAGTCAGCAGCAGAAGTGGAGCGCCCGGAGAGGTTTTCAAGTTCCTAGTCCCTCGGAAGGTAGACGTGCCGAGGAAAAGACGGCAGGATGGCCGCGAGTCCTCGGTTTGTGACAGTTCATTCCATGACTGTTCACAGTTACGACAGCACTGAAAAAAAAGGGACTCGGGGCTGTTTTTCA